GAGCAAGTGTGAGGAATACCTTATAAATTCTATAGATGATGCTGGCAAAATAGAATATGACAGTTCCTCTGGAATGACCTAGGGCTCAGAGTCAGAAATCAATCCTTGTGAAGTGGATGGCACCTGCCATGAAGTCATCGAAGTGTACATTTTTAAGGCTGACCCTGGAGAAGATGACTTAGGTGGCACCATAGACATTGTGGAGAGAGAGTCTGTGAAAGATTATGAAGTTGAACTACTTGATCAGAATAGCAGTATTCATTTGCCAAGAGAAAAGATGGTTTATATGACTGTCAATGACTCTCAGCAAGAAGATGAAGATTTGAATGTTGCTGAAATTGCTGATGAAGTTTATTATGGACGTAATTGTAAGAGAAGAGAGTGCTGCTGCAGCAATGGCAGCAGCTGCCGCACAAAAACAGCAAATCGATGACAAATAAAAACCTTCATGCCAGTGTGGCAGGGGCTTACTGTAATAATTCTCATGGAACTGAACACTGGAATGGCACTGCAAGTGCCCTCTTGCACATAGATGAATCCACCAGGCTCAGCAGACTGACTAAATAAAAACCAAAGAAAAGGAGAAGACCTGATTTCAGGTAGTACCAAACAACAATAATAATTCGCCCTGATTGACATCCCTTGACTATCTGTCCTTGCATGATTTGTGGGAAAATGTTTGTCAAGAGGTTTTTTTGAAAAAGCACAGGAAAAACCATGCTGAATAGCTTGTCCGGAAGAAATACTGCTATACAGACTGTGATTATACTACCAACAAGAAAAGATGTTTGCAGAAATACCTGGAGAGCCATAAGCTGACCAACCAGACAGAGAAGGCCATTGGATGCAATGAATATGGGACGCATTTCTCTCATGCTGGGGCTTTGTTTACTCACAAAATGGTGCATAAGGTAAAAGGAGCCAACAAAATGGGGTTCACAGCAAGAACTTTTCTCATATTTGCATGGAATGTGGTAAAGGTTTTTGTCACCCATTAGAGCTCAAAAAGCACATGCAAATCCAACTGAGGAGAAGCCGATCCAATGACAGTATTGCAAATATAGTTCTGCAGACTCTTCTAATTTGAAAATGCATGTAAAAATTAAGCATAGTAAAGATATGCCATTCAAGTGTAACAGTTGTCTTTAGACATTTTTAGAGACCGAAAAGGTGCGGTAACATGCTCTTATTCACCAAGAAAGATACCAGTGTTTGCATTGTGATCACAAGAGTTTGAACTCAAATGATTTTGAACACATAATTTCCGTTCACATGAATAACTACCGCCATAAGTGTGACATGTTGATAAAGGCTTTCATAGGGGGTCAGAATTCAAGAAACGTGGCCTGCCCACAAAGATTAAACAATGAACCCTTGTAGACATTGTGACTTTAAGATTGCGGATCCATTTGTTCTAAGTTGCCATACTATCTTGGTTCATACTAAAGAGCTTCCATTTAGGTGTAAGAGACGTAGAAAGAGATTTAAGCAACAGAATTAGCTTAAAAAGCATATGAAGACAGACAGTGGAGGAAAGTGATCAGTGGAGTACTGTGAGTATAGCACTACAGATAGATATCTCAGGCTTTAAACAGCATGTTTTTTCCATTCATATGAAAGATTACCCTTACCATTGTGAGTACCGCAAGAAGGGGTTCCTAAGACCTTCAGAAAAGAACCAGCACACAGCCCTGGCAAGTGTGGCTCTGTTGGTAGAGCATTGTCCCGTGCACCAAGGGGTCGCCAGTTCTATTCCTAGTCAGGGCACATGTCTGTGTTGCAGGCTCAATCCCTATAAGGGGCATGCAGGAGGCAGCTGATATATGTATCTCTCTCACATCAATGTTTCTCTCTCAACCTCTCCCTCTCTTTCTAAAATCAGTAAAAAGCATATGTAAAAATAAATAAATAACAACATTTTTTAAAAACGAGAACCAGCACACAATGCACGGCATCTTAAAGTGGGCCTACCCAACAATACTTCTACAGATGTTTGTGGAGATATTAGCCTTGAAACAGAAAATTCATTTTAAAGCTAATCACACTTTATATTTCTCTTACATAGTCTGGAACCATACACAGTTCTTTTCTTTTTGAAGCAAAATATTGAAACCTTTAAAGGGCACTTAAGCAGTGGTTCTCAACCTCCTGGCCATTTAAATACAGTTCCTCATGTTACCCAACCATAAAATTATTTTCATTGCTACTTCATAACTGTAATGTTGCTACTGTTATGAATCATAATGTAAATATCTGATATGCAGGATGGTCTTAGGTGACCCCTGTGAAAAGGGTCGTTCGATTGCCAAGGGGTCGCCACCCACAGGTTGAGAACCGCTGCTTAAAGGTTTGGTCAAGTGAATATAATAAAATATATTTGTATAAAGAAAAAATGAATTTGTAGTCACTATTATATACTGATATTAGTTACAACCTAGTTTTAATTCTTAAAACAATTTTGATTAGCAAAGCTAAAAAATGAATATTTCAGTTAAATGTTTTAAAGAGGTCAGATTTTTACAAGGACTTAATATAAGTTGTTATTCTATAGAACTATCCTATTAAATATTGTTGTAGCCCTCCTTCTGAACACTTTATTTAAAAAAAGGTAAAATACATTAAAAAAATCATATAGGGATGTGTGACATTATTGTAATTGGGTATTTGCAAATAACATGTGAAAATAAAAATCTATTTTCCTGTTTAAAAAATAAATAAATAAAATAAAAATTTCTCCATGTTATTTGTGACTAGATCTTCTGGTAATTGGTAGGTTGTTTCTGGTAAGAAGTGAAAGATGGGCCTTCGGGCGCTCAGTTAGTTGAGTGTTGTCCTGTACACCAAAAAGGTTGTGGGTTTTATTCCTGGTCAAGAGGCATAAAGGAGGCAACCAATGATGTTTCTCTCTCACCTCAATGGATCTCTCCCC